ATGACCCATTGTCGGCATAATTGAAGACCATCAAGTAGCTTCCTTCGTCATCTATTGAAAGGTATTATATTCATGCAGTCTATTTTCCTAACACATTGAATCTTTCACCGTTATTTACCTTTGCTGATGCCAAGGAATCGAATTATGTTGGGATGGTCATCTACACTACGATGGATCCTGAGCTAAGAATACGAAACGCACGACATATAAGAACCACAGTTTCATAGACCAAGCAGCAGTTCTGTCATGCATGATTACAAACCTCGTTTACAAAGTCTTTGAAGAACCCGTCTTCGCTCGAATTTATGATCAACTTGTAAGCAACAGTGATGCCCGATTTTGCTGCTGTTGCTTTGAAAACTACACCAAATCCACCATTGCCTATACATCGGCTGTTGATAAACTCATCATAAGGATAAAATCGAATGTAGCCATGTTCAACACTATTATCTAACCACTGCTTGTCAGAGATAATTGATGTCATCGTTGTTATTACTGTTGACTTGGAGTTTTCATGATCATGTTATACGTCTTGAGTGATATTGACTGTGTCACATACATTAGTAACACATGCACAGCCCAGTATTATGCAGGGGCAATAAACAAACGTAAGGGAAAAAAAAAGCAGTGAATGTGTGTTGAAATATTTTTTTTGTACCTTGTTGGCGCAAACGATGTCGAGTGTGTACATAATTTAATAAAATAATCAGTCATAAATTACATAGGTGTATCGTATAACTAACTTTAACTGCATCTTCTAACATGCTAATTAGCAGTCATTTACAAAGAATTTGTCATAACCTTTTTTCAGCACGTCAATGACAAGATGATCTATAAATGTCATAGCAAAGACAATTTCTTGTTTCGTAAATTTCAGCACTAACGTAAGTTATTTGTAACAAAGCCAGCAGTCTGTCCAACAAGTGCAATAATATATTACAATGCACAAGGAGCATAAACTATCTTTTTAGTTTTTTATAACTCGCCGTCTGTGAGAGATGGATTAACAACATTAAAAATAAGTTTAAACGACATAAATCAATATAATATCATCGGTAATATTAGTTTGAAGTGATAAATAATTTATTGATGGGTGTCGTAATAAGGAATGCGGTTTTTCGTTGGTCAGAATATAGTGTGTTACCATGTTTCGTAGTGTAATAATATGCTAAGATAATCATAGTATTAAACTAGTGAGCAGGACAGGAGGAGCTGTATCAGTGAAACAAATGAAATAAAAATTAAATAGTTCAAGTTGGAAGTAAATTATAGCAGTTTGCAAAATTTTAATTTTTCATCAAATAAAATTTTTTGACGAAAACAATCAAATGAATGAATGGATTTAAGTAATTGATCAACCATGCATTCTCGAAAGGCATACAATTCACGCACGCTCTCACACCCAACGCGATATTTAACGATAAATGGGTGATATTAAACTATAATAACCAATTTCATATTTGTACCAATACAGCACCGCCAACATCACTATTGGGATGGTGCGGTAACGGCAATGGTCCTGGCGTCGGTGGTAATGACAGCGAACGAACAGGGGTACGAAAGGAGTAGGCTTTGACTCTGTTCTGGTCGTTTTTGCTCAGGTATTGGAATAACGTTTTTCTTTTCAATCTCAGTTTGAGTTTGAGTTTGAGTTTGAGAAGCCTGTGTCTGGTGTGACGGTTGTTGCGATTGTGGGAGATGAGAAGGCAATGTTTATGCCGTCAGCAATATCAAATAACATAATAATAAATACATACACTGAATAGTCAACCTTTTCCGAGTAATTCCGCAATGCTTCAACGACCACCATAGCGTAGGTATAGACACCACCTTCCCATACGTTATTCCATCTCAGCAACCAACTCGTCCAGATACTACCGATCTGACTTCCGATCGATTAAAAAGCTTTAAAAAAATTTTGTGGCCAAATTCTAGAATTTTGAAAACAGCAATAAGCATGTGATATACGTGTAGTTAGAAAAATTAATGCAAGAGTTTATAGGGAATAAAGTCTTGTATCTTCTTCTCGCACTATAATATTCACCAGTTGATCTACCTTTTTGCTGCTGGTCACGCGTTGTATTCATGATATGCCGCCCGGAAGATTCCATACGTTGGAAAATTTTTTGGGGGAAGTTGCCATTGTTACTGTAATTGTTATAGTTGGAGTTGATAGAGGGAGAACGTTATCGGGTAAATGGGATTCTGAGGTAGAAGTGTTGAATTTAGTAATGTAATATAGAGGTTTTGTTCTCATATATTAGTTTCCTCGTAAAAAACAAAATCGCGACGTTAAAGTCTTCCGATAGTATCCATGAGCAGTACTTGAAAAGTATTTGTACGTAATTTTTTGAAAACACTCGGGCTTATCGCCGTCTCTGAATGATTTTGTTGTTGACAATTTTTTGGAATTGACCACGACAGAGACTGTGGCCGCGTTCGGCGTTTTTTTCGTTAATTGATCTTTCTCGTGTGTGAGTGTACAATTTATATTATATTCTCATGATGACACCTTTCGATAAGCAACATAACACAAACGTGTTTATACATCATAAGTATATAAATCGAGTCTGTTATGAAATGACGTGCTATATTGGGGCCAAACAAATAAAATTTCAATCGACGAGAACAATGACCGTAACAATAGGATGGCATAAATAGGTTTTGGATCAGAAGATATACATTATAATAAATACAACAAATAAAATAAAGTAGACAAATTATAATACTTTATTTCATCAAAAAAATGAATACAATAAGAAACGTTTTTTTTTTGAAGTCTATTATAGAAAGTTCCCCATTTGGTAAACAAGAAACAAGTTGGAGTTGATAGAGCGTTATCGAGCAAATGGGATTCAGAGATCTTACTCCGTAAAAGTGTTGAATTAGTAATGTAATAGAGGGTTCCATTCGCATATATCAGTTTCCTCGTAAACTGAACAAAATGGCAATAAAAGTTGTAGCATTGTGATAAGCGGTTGATACCTCTTGAATCATTTTTCTCATACTGTTATGTAATATTGATATGCTTCACAAAATGTTATGTGTGCGATAAGAACCAAAGAAAGAAAAGTTTATGGTGGGCCTTCAGGAGGTGGAGCAAACTAAACTTTTGAAGCAAGTCGTTTCTGTACACTTAATTTTTTAATAAATACACCGTACACAAACAAAGTCATGTGAAGTAAAGATCTGGAATTATGATACACAATACAAGGTCAACAATAAATGTATACGTCATTTATTACATAAGGCGTTATTGTCGTGCGTTTTTTGACACTGTTGGCGGGTCGCTACGCGACAGCCACCATAGTCTTGATAATAAGAAGTTCCATAACGGAAACATTTTATCCTCTTGATAGGTAGCCTGAAATTTTGAGTCGATATTTCATCGCCGTTAATATAAATGACATATCATTGTTATCACTTGAATCATATATTAAATGGAATATGCGTGAGTAAATTGTACATATATATAGTAAGCCACGAAAGTGTTTTGCTGATTGATGTATATTAATATTTTGGGGCATGGAAGAAAATTTCCTTCATTAGTTAAAAGTGTCAAATTGAACAAGATGTGTGACAGGCGGAATTTTTTGGAGAACAGCGATCACAAACAATAGGATTCATCAGTTAACATTAATTAATTATTTAATACATAGCGAACTAAAGAAGTGGAATAAAAATAATAACATCGAAGCAAATATACATTATGGTAAAGATCTCAAAGGCAATTTTTAATCTAACATGTAATCATGTTTACAATAATGAAAACGGTACGTACGAAAATTTGCATTGCAACAAAATTGAAAGCATTGTATAAAGCGCAGACGTTTCAAAAGTGAATACAAATATTAAAGCGTTAGTTAGAAGAAGTAAAATTTTGAATAAAATGAAACAATTTAATTAAACAGGAAAATATAAAAAAATTTTTTGTTTAAAAAGAATGGGGTACGAAGGCGAAAAATGAGAGCCGGTTCAAGTTCTACATCTAGTTCTAGAACTAGATATAGATCTATATGAAAACAGCGGACTTTGCACATAGAAAAATACGAAATATAGTTAGCGCCTTTCCTAAAGCATGATAGATCAACAGCAGATTAGTGTACAAAAAATAAACAGAGCTTAGTCTTTACGGAAAAGGTAAATTGTCAGCAGAACTTGTGCGACTGACTGTCCGACTAAAAGTATAAGGATGCTAAATTGGTATAGTTTCCGTAAACGTCCTTCAACACCATTAATGCGTTAATTTATTCTTATGTAACACGGGTTGTTCAGTTAGTTATGGAACAATCTGTCGCTTTCCCCGCCATTTCAATGTGAAATAGGCCCGAAAATCAGGGTATGTAAAATGAATATTTATCGCTAGTGACCTGAAATTTATTACGTTTTTAATAGGTAAGGACTGTTATTCAGCCAGTCAATAACTTTAAAAACATTTTCCTGAAGGAATAATTTAACCAGACAGCCGGTATTAAAATTGTTTATAATGCATAAGCAACACGTCAATTTATAATATAATTATTATGCAAAAAATTGTATCAAAGAGGAAGCGAAAGCAATGACTTTATGAATTTTGAGGTACAACACAAAGTAAAGTTTAATCAGGTCTTCTTTGAAAAAATATATATATATAGAGTAGAAGCTTATCTTTGCCGCCATTTTAATAGCTTATGAAGTGCCTAGTAATTGATCATATGTGTCGTCAAAATTTATGAAATAATAGTATTAAATTACCGATCATAACACCGTCTGTTCTTTTCTGCAACCAGATCCTCAACAATTATTCAAGCATGTTAATTCACATCAATTTGAACAAACGACTTTTTGAACGTTTGATCACAAGATCAAATCAGATTTCGTGTAGCATACCATACCCGATATTGACTACTGTAACACCATCTGGGCCAAATGATTAAAACCTAACATACCGCGTTCAATCTGCATTCATTTTATACCCAAGTTATGCTGAGCACCTGATCTACGGATAAGAGATAAACATAATGACGGACAAACGCCTCGATGCTGATAAAATGATCGATACGTCAAGCAGTGTCGATGAAGCCGCAATACAGAGCGAGGAAATCGACGAATTAGCCGACGACGACGATGACAGAATGAACGAAAACTCTCAGCGAAATGGCGATTTCGAATCCACTAACGGTGCTCAACCGAATGAAGAAGAAAAGATGGTGACTGACGAATACACCGAGGATATTGGGGGGCTACAAATGCGAGGCAAACAGGACGAGCAGTCGGGAGATGGGAGTGAGCATAGTAATTTAGTATATGAGTTTGAAGCTGTTGTTGGACATTGTCTAAAAACTGACATTTGATGGGTTGGGGTGTGGGTCATGTCAAAGAGAAATGTGATTATTCGCAAAGTAATAAATAGTTTATTGTTATGTACTAGACGTTACGGAATACTTTTATTGAATTGTATAAAATTAGCGTAGTTCTATACGGTCCAAATTAGAAATAGTTATACGGTGGCATCTCCATAAGCGCATACACGTGAAATTTCAAAAAGTCAGCCAATTGATTTTAATAGCGCAATGTTAAATCTGCATCGCATAAATTTTTCTTAAATAGTATGGTTACTCGAAAATTTAATCAGAGTTTAGTCATAGTTCCAAATTAAGCAGAACGGGAGATAAAGAAATAAATGCGCAATGATACAATAAATACTGTTTGCGCTAGATTAAGCAATGCAGAGAATTATTCAACACTTATTACGGAGTATCAAATACATATTTTTCTTAAAGTATGGCTTGATTTAGAATGTGATGGCTAAATTCGGAAATTTTGATAATAAAAAAAAGGGTGTCCTTAACTTACACCCCGGGTGTACGGCAAATTCGTACACCCCCGGGGGTGTAAGATAAAAAATACACCCGGGGGTGTACGATTATTTGCGTACACCAGGGGGTGTAACATATTCTGTACACCCCGGGGGTGTAAGTTAAATGGATACACCCGGGGGTGTAAGTTAAATTGGTACACCCCCCACGTACGGTTAATGTGATATTGAAGACTAATATCCAGGTC